CCCCCCCCTTCGGGTGAGCACGTTTCACATTGTCGCCGGAGCGGCCGAGCCCTCGCTTGACGTATTTGCGGACGCTTGTGCCGACGAGGGGCCAAACCAGCCTTTGGTTGGTGACTGCGACATCCCGGCCAAGCAACTTTCCCTTGGCGTTGGCTTTTCGAGGCCAACGTTTTCTGTTCACTGTGCGCCATCTTGCCCTCGTGGAATAGCAAAGAAGCAGATTCCGATGTTCATCCATCTCTTTGGGGCTGTTTTTTTGTTTTGTTTTGTTTTGGTTTTTTTTTATAGTGCCGTCAGGCGATTAAAAAAATGTGTGCAATCAATTAATTGGGGTCTGTAATTAATTGACATAATTAATTTAATTTTAATCTCATCTAAAAATGACTGAGAAACTCCCTATTTTCTTTTGAAATTCTTGACATGATTGAGGCAGCTCAAAAGATTAAAAGAAAAATGTGGCATTAGAAAGCATTTTATTGTTTTTTTGCAGCAGACTCGGACAGATTCCGTCCTAGCCGTTTACTTTCTGTTGTATTTGAGACTCGTTAAAAGTCCGACCTGCAACCTTTAGTTTCGACCACGAATGAGGGGGGAATATCAGCGTTTTGTTTGTTTATGTAAATCTCCAAAGTTTAAAAATTGAAGAAAAAAAAAAAGCGATTAAAATATCGGTGGACGCGATTAAAATTTTGAACGCACTAAAACGCTTGTTATTAATTAATCGCAATGAACGCGCCATTTCACACCTCTAGTTTTTTTAATCCCAACTTGTTCATTAATTCGGTGGTTTGTCGTCCCGCGTTCAGTTTCTCTGTGATTTTTTTTTTTTTTTTTTGCTTTTGTCGCCTCTCGTGGCCTTGAATTAAAGTAAATGTCCACGGAGGTTTCCGGCCCACGGCAGACTTCAACGTGAAGCCACTGTTTTGCATGCATGCTGCCCCCCCCCCCCCTCAAGACTCCTCCTGCCCTCCTTTTAAATGTCTTTTTTTCGGGGTGCGGGTCATTGTGCATTCAACTAATGCACCATGACTATGTATAAATACAAAATACTCATGACAACTAACTGAATAAAAAAAAACTATGATGCAGCTCTTTTGATGCTGATTGACATCACATGGCTGAGCGACGCCGGTCCGATTCCGAGGGGGGTCGGTCGGGTTTGTCGTCCGGGCTGTCGGCAACATTTTTTTTCGTGATTTTTTTTTTTTTGTACCGCATTTTTCCAATGAAATGAGTGACAACAAAATAGTAATGACAGGAAGCGGCCGCGATTGCCACCGAACCAGCAAGTTCCTGTCGTCGAGTGTTGTTGACACTTCCCCTCTTTGTGCTCTTTGGCCCTCCACATTCCAGAGCGCAGAATGCGGCGGGGCGAGGCCCGAGAGACCAAACCCGTTTGCCGGGAGGGCGTGGAGGGGGCGACCCGAGAACGTCGCGCGGCGCAGGTGACAAACGGCCCCGCCGCCGCCGCCGCTGCCGCCTCACTCCCCCGCCGTCTCGTCCAGCCGCCAGCATCATGCCCCTCCGGTCCGCCCCGGCGGGGGGCCGCGACGCCATCGACACGCAGATGGACGGCCGCTCCTTCGGCCAGCTGCGTCAGGAATGCCTGCAGAGGCGCGTCCTGTTCGAGGACCCCGACTTCCCCGCCGAGGACTCGTCGCTCTTCTTCAGCCAGGCCGTTCCCGTCCGGCTGGAGTGGAAGAGGCCCCCGGTATGTAGTCGCGCGTTTTCCGCCCCCGCCGGCACTATGGCACATCGAAGACGGTCTTACCTCGGGTATGTGCGCGCTAAATGTCACGTCAAAGAGAATGCCAGATGAACAATCAAAGACACAACGCTTGCATGTGTACGTACCATATTGGCCCGAATGTAAGACGGCCCTGATTATAAGACGAGCCCCTCTTTTTCAAGACTCAAGTTTGAAAAAAAGACTTTTGGAACACCAAAATTAATTTTTATACAGAAAATAATTATAGTACATCTGAAACAAATGATTATAACAATATATTTGAGAGAAAAAGCATCTTGAAGTTTACACCGTAACTTCTCCTCAGCTGCCGGTTAACCTGGCCAATCTTCGACCCACTTTTCTCCAGATTTGTCGCTGACGTTTCTCCATTTTCTGTTGTCTCTTCCGTTATTCTCTTTTCTTTATTACTGCTATTTTTTTAATTTTTCTTCTTCGTGCGACCGCTATTTTTCTTTTTATTTTTCGTGACGGGGGTTCACTTTGGCCTGGGGGAGTCAAGTTCAGCATTCGCTTCGATGATATTTGGCGCCATCTAGCGTCGTGAATGTGTATGATGTCTAGACCCCGAATATAAGACGACCCTCACTTTTTTTTTCACGTCTTATTTCAATGCAAAAAAAAAAAAACGTCTTATATTCGGGCCAATACAGTATCGTGTGTCGGGTGACCCATTTGTGTTGCTTTGCTCGTGTCAAAACGAGACGTCAAAATAGAACTGTCGCATGGATGTGTCTGCCGCTTTTCGTTTCTGCGTGTTTGTGCGCGGAGGGATTTGCTCCACCGGCATTTTGATCCATGCGTCCGGCTGAGGGTGTGTGTGTGTGTGCGTGTGTCCGTGTGCGTTGTTTGTCATGTGACCTATCAAAGACACGGCACATGCGTGCGTGCGCGCGCGTCTTTTTGCGACAGGACCTGTCAAGTGTTGCGCAATTTTTTTTTTTGCTTGGCAAAGGAGAGGCGCGGAGCTTCTTCCGAGTGCTCCGATTGGCTCGGGGCCGTGTTCCGCCATCCGCCGACTTACTACGCGCTGTGCGCGCGCACACACCCCACCTAGAAATGTGTAGTCTGTGTGTGTTTTTGGATTGATAAGCTCGGAATGTGAACATACCTGCCCTTCGCTGACACGTCACTGAACCTGTTCTCGTCATTCTCCTCCTCATTCCCCTCATTCTTTTGTCGTCGTCGTCCTCCTCACCCCCCACCCCATCCCCCATTTTGTCTCCTCAGGAGCTGTGCGCCAACCCCAAGTTCATCGTGGGCGACGCCACCCGGACGGACATCTGCCAGGGACAGCTGGGTACGTACATAGCCACCAGTGTTGCGGCTCAAGTACTCCGGACAGGTACTTAGGTCAAGAAATCCCAAAACAACTCCGGAGGCATGTGGGGGAAAAATGTAGCACCTTAAATTTGAAACTTCTCGCACGCAACAAATGCGCCATGTAGAGCAGGAGTGTCAAACTCATTTTTTGTCACGGGCCACGTTATAATTACCGTTTCCCTTGTAGGACCACGATGACTGAAACCATCGAAAGAAGTCGAGAGTAACGTTTCCTTCAACTCTTGTTTCAGTAACTGTAACGAGGGGGGTTTGGTCACAAGAAAATGCTTACAATATGTCACTGATTTATGACGGATGAAAATTGGACATTTTGGTCCGCATTTTGAACAAGTATCATGGAAGTTGACGTCTTTGATTTGCTTTTGCGGGCCACTTAAAATGATATGGCGGGGCCACATCTGGCCCCCGGGCCTTGAGTTTGACACATGTGATGTCGAGTATCAGTCAAAACTAAAATGACTCCAAAATCTGATTCAAAAACATCAAGCGGAGCATCTACCGCAACTGAAACGGATGAAAACAACCAAACGTTTGCTCAAAACTCGTTCAAACAAACTGAAATTTAAAAAAAAGAAAAAAAAAAGGTCAAAACGGGACAAAAAAAAAATACCGTGGAAAAAAAGTAGATATAAATAACGTATATATTACACTCCGACTTAAACTCAAGCTACTGACAACTCCATTAAAAAACTGCCGGTCATTAAAACTCATTCAGTCCCAGCCAATTCTGGGCCAAGTCCGAAAAGACGTTTAAAAACGTCTTTGAGGAGTGAACGGGTTAACTCAACTTAAAACTGCGTGTGCGCTTCTCCACAGGCGACTGCTGGCTGCTCGCCGCCATCGCATCCTTGACTCTGAAGAAGGACGCTCTGGCCCGGGTGGTCCCCCACGACCAGGACTTTGATCAGCGCTACGCCGGCATCTTCCACTTCCAGGTTGACGCCCGTCCCATCGGCCGTCTGTGTATCCGTCGAGAAACATTTCTTCGATAAAACGACCGTTCGACGACGCCGCAAAACCAGCGAACGGCAAATTCAACAGGAAGTGCGAGAACTCGGGGGGAAAAAATAAATAAATATTCATAAAAATAAATATCGCCCACATCTGGCACGCCGCGTTGTTTGATTTGTCCCACAAAAGCGAACGATCGACTCCATTTTTCTTGCAATTGCAAATTGTCTCGGTGTTGACATTTGTCGAGTACGTTTTTCCTTTTTTTCGGAAGAGTTTTTCCCGCCTCCCTGCCCGCCGGGGGGGGGCACTCATCGAGCGGGCCCGTTTTTCCGTGTCAGTTTTGGCAGCACAACAAGTGGCTGGACGTGGTGGTGGACGACCGTCTGCCGTCGGTGCGCGGCCAGCTCATCTTGCTTCACTCGGCCTCCAACAACGAGTTCTGGAGCGCCCTGCTGGAGAAAGCCTACGCCAAGTAAGCGCCACGGCGGCTGCCCCAGCTGGTCTCCTCCACCAAAGCTACCATCTGCCGTGGTGAGGCTCCACCAAGCGAGCGAGTGAATAATTTGCCGCGTCCGTCCGTCCGCAGGCTGCACGGCAGCTACGAGTCTCTGAAGGGCGGCAGCACCATGGAGGCCATGGAGGACTTTACGGGCGGCGTGGGCGAGATGCACGACACCAAAAAATCCAACGCCAAACTCTTTGGCATCATGAAGAAGGCGCTGGACCGAGGATCCATGATGGGATGCTCCATCGACGTAAGCGTCTTTAACTCAATCAAACCCTTTGACGTCTAAAGAGCGTCAATTAACGCAATAGTCCCCCGCCTCCCCATGACGTCTAAAGGCGTCAATCACGTTTTTCATGGGGGGGGGGGGTGCAAGAGAGTCTGATGCAACTTCTCACTGAAGAAGCAGGCTTGACTGCAATGTGAAATAGTAAAAAAAAAAAAAAATGGCCACCAGGTGGCAGTGGTGTAAAAGTCCATTTGCACTCTGTTCATAGTTCAATAGTCTTACGTGCAAATAAATTATTTTGCCCTACAAACATTTTTTGTAATATTATTTTGGAGGAGGAACGCATTGTTGAGGTATTTGAGATGTCACAAAAGCAAAAAAATAGTGTCCAACTTGAAATGCACGCTTTGACAAAAAGCTCATTTTCTCTGGATTTCGGAAGAAAAATCGGCCTTTTCCAAAACAAAAAACTTTTGCTGCCATTTTCTCATGCTCATTGCCGACGAACGGAAAAAGATAGAAACACTTAAATAAATAAAGAAAGAAATTATGCTGACGAAGCCCAGCTCGGTCTGCCGATTGAACGGGAACGTGCAAAGACGAAATGAATACACTGGCAAGAAGCATTGGCGCAGGTTCTTTCTGGAGCTGGAGTCAAAGCTTTTAATTGTCACCGACGAGGCCGCACCCCTTGCTTGAAGGGACGCATCGACGGTGTATTTTTCCAAATCAGACAACCGCTTTTACTTTGAAAGGCATCGATCCTTTGAGACGATTTTCTGTCCCGTCACCGACGAGACCAAAGCAGACACGGAATCGTCATCGCTTGATTCCTTTTTCCGTCTCGCCGATTTGAACTCGCGTCCTGTTTTTGAAGAAAGGGATGGAAACGAGCATCCCGTCACCGACGATCGCCCAATGACCGGGAGGCTTTTTAAAAAAAAAAAGCGACGGACGTTTCGTCCGTCAGAGTGATCGGCGCGACTACAAACGAAAGACTAAAAGCCTGACGTGTTGACGATTCTCACACTTTTTGGGTTTGCAGATCAGCAGCTCGGCCGAGTCGGAGGCCAAGACCAGCAGCGGCCTGGTCAAAGGTCACGCCTACTCCATCACCGGCCTGCAGGAGGTCAATTGCCGAGGTCAAAGGGTCAAATTGGTGCGCGTGAGGAACCCCTGGGGTCAGGTGGAGTGGAACGGACCCTGGAGCGACGGGTAGGGCCGTCCGTCAATGGCGACCGCTCTTTATCTCACCTGACATTGGATGGCGACCACTCTTTTCATTTTTCCGCTCCATTTTTTTCATCGTCATTGACCAGTCTTGTTTTTGTTTGTTTTTATGTACGTGTCCTGTCATCGACTGATAAAAGTCCATTTTTCAGGGGGGGGGTGTAATAAATCCGCTCATGTTGGCCGGTGACCAGTCCGTTTTTGGGGTCGATACGGTGCTTTGTCACTGCCTGGCGACCGCTCCTTTTGTTGTTTTTGCCGGCAGTTCCCGCGAGTGGGACTACGTGGACCAAGCGGAGAAAAGGCGAATTCTGCAGCACGCCTCCGAAGACGGCGAATTCTGGTCAGTCTTTTTGACTCCGTTTGTTCTTCCCGAAACAACCGAAACGGGAGATTCCCAAATTGATAGTTTTGTGTGTGGGTGTGGGTGGGAGGGGGGTCCTATTTAAACCAATTATTTGGTGGTTTTATTTCATGAAATGATTCCCGTGTTTTTTTTTTTGTTTTTTTTTTTTAATTTGCGCGGAATGCGCATCGCCGTCAAACCCGGCGAAAAACGACCAAAGGTTTCCGAGTTGTCGGCTTGCGTTTCAAGAATCTCTCTTTTGCGTGCGCTCAGGATGACTTTTGAGGACTTTCGCTCCAACTTCGACAAGGTGGAGATCTGCAACATGACGCCGGACGCGCTGAGCGACGACACCAAGCGTCACTGGGAGGCGCAATTGTTCGAGGGCCAGTGGATCCGCGGCTCCACCGCCGGCGGCTGCAGAAACTTCATCGGTGAGACACTTGCTACTTGTTGGACTGGCTTCCGTGTGATTTTTTTTGGGGGGGGGCCTGAGCGTTTGTCGCGCGTCATTTGGGCAGACACCTTCTGGACCAACCCGCAGTTCAAGCTGGAGCTGGCGGACGCCGACGACGAGGACGACATGTGCAGCGTGGTCATCGCGCTGATGCAGAAGAACCGACGGCAGCTGAGGAAGGAGGGCATGGACCTGGAGACCATCGGATTTGCCGTCTACGAGGTCTATCGAATTTATTTTGTGATTTCCTCGCTTGATTTTCTGTTTTGATGAATTATTTTCCATTTTTTTCGGAGTTTCATCGTGAATTGACGTTTTTCCGAGGCGCTCGTGAACGCCTCTCGAGTCGAACGAACGGAAGGAGTGTCGCTCCATCTAGTGGATGCGTTGTAGATTGCGCCTTATAATCCAGTGCGACCAATATATGAAAAAAAATTGTGCGCCTTTTAGTGCGGAAAATACGGTCGTCTCCACCGGACGCAGTTGAAGACGAGCGATACGGCCGGCGCGTTTTTTTTTTTTTTGCCCGATCGTACGGCTTCTTGACCAGAGAGCGCCTTTGTCGCCCAGGCTCCCAACAGCGCCGAGCAGCAGGGCAAAGATTTCTTCCGCACGCACGCGTCCAAAGCTCGCAGCAAGACCTACATCAACCTGCGCGAGGTGTCGGAGCGCTTCACGCTGCCGCCCGGCCGCTACCTGCTGGTGCCCACCACCTTCCAGCCGCACCGCGAGGCCGACTTCCTGGTGCGCATCTTCTCCGAGAAGAAGGTGGCCGCCCTGTGAGTGTGTCGTTCGTGGAGCCGACAAATTGGACGATTGCTTCGGAGTTGCCGTCGCCAAATGAGCAAATGCAAAAAAAAAAAAAGTCAAGCGAGATGGAAAATGCTTTTGCCAAATCATTCCGCAATCATGATCGGATGAACCCTTTTTTTTTTTTTTTTTTTTGTTTTGAATCCCCTGACTCATCTGAATCCGAATCTGTATCGAAACCGAATGTGACCGTTTGTTTGCGTTTGTCATCAGGGAGATGGGCAGCGACGTGGACGCGGACCTGCCTGAGGTGAGCGCACCTTCCCGGGGGGGCGTCAATCACCCGGCGCCGGCTAGGTCCTGCCGTGTTTGATCGGTTCTCTCCCCCCCCCGCAGCCGCCCCCGCCCAGCGCCCCCGAGGACGAGACGGACGAGGAGAAAGGCCTGAGGAGACTCTTCGACCAGCTAGCCGGATCGGTGAGTCTCCCGGTACCGGCGCCTGCGTCGGCCGTCTCAAAGTTGGCCCAAAAACGTCTTTTTTTTTTTTTTGGCGTGCAGGACCGGGCCATCTCCGTCAGGGAACTGCAGCAGCTGCTCAACGGCGTCCTCAGCAGCCGTACGTCCACACGTCGGCCCGGCGCGCGTGCGCTAGCCCGGTTAGCCGCTGGCGGGCTCGCAAATTTGTCCGCGGGTTTCAATTTCGTTTTGGGCGAGTACGAGCGTCGCCGAGCTGTGTTTCCGTCCTCAGGAAAGGAGATCCAGTTTGACGGGCTGAGCCTCCACACGTGCCACAGCATCATGAACCTGATGGACGTATCCTTCCCTTTTCTTTCTTTTTTTTTTTTGGCGGCCCGATCGAGTGAGTCGGACGCAGGCGTTGCCCGGTTGCTCCTTTCCTTTAACTCAGAACGGCAGGCGGACAACACGGGCAAGATGGAGTTCCAGGAGTTCAAGGTCTTCTGGGAGAAGATGAAGAAGTGGATCGTACGTGAGAGCCCGGCCGACGGCCGCCGGCAGCCGCGTGACGGGAGGTGTTGACCTTGTCCGCTTCTTCTTCTCTTTGTACTTTTTGGCGCCGCCTCTTTCTTCTGGTTCTCCTTCTCGCTCTTTCCGGTCCTGCTTCTGGTTCTCTTTCTTCCGGTTCTTCTTCTGCCTCTCGCGCTTTCGGCTCCGGTGCCTCCTTTTTGGTTCTTTTCTTCTTCTTCTTCTTCTGCGTGGTTTTGCAGATGCTCTTCCTCTCTTTTGACACGGACCGCTCGGGCAAGATGTCCTCCTACGAGCTCCGCAGTGCCCTCAAAGCCGCAGGTGAGACCCCGGCTCACCCGCACCCTTGCAAGAATGCGCTTTCTTCACAGCTGTGTTTCGAACGTAAATGTATCAATACGGTATGTTTGGACTAGCGCTGGCGCGGACGTTTTTTTTTTTTTTTTTTTTGGTCAAAAGATTTGAGAGGTTTAGTTCCACCGCCTCTTATCTTCAGTCGTCCAATGGCCGTTGTGTGTGCGCGTCGTGCAGGCATGCAGCTGAATAATCAGTTGCTGCAGCTCCTCGGCCTTCGGTTTGCCGATGAGAAGTACGGCATCGACTTTGATGACTATCTCACCTGCATCGTCCGCCTGGAGAACATGTTCCGTACGTCCCGCAGCCGCAAGCATCATCACGCTGTGAGCGGAATGACGGGCAACCATTCATTGTTTTTGCTTCCCCCCCCCCTCCCCCCCCCCCCCGCCGCCCCCTTTCTTCAGGAGTTTTCCAGGCTATGGATGATCACAAAAAGGGCCGGATTCGAATGAACATGTTGCAGGTAAGCTCGCGCAAACCTTCACCCCATTGTTGCGGATTTTCACTCTTTCACGGGTGGGTCTGGAATGTATCGAGGTTTCGATTTGTTTGGCTCCTCTTGTTTTTTTCATTCGACTTGCTCTTTGCTTCCCTCTGTCAGTTCCTGGTCTTGTCCATGAACGTGTGAGAAGACGCCGTGAGCAAAGCCAGCAGAAGAACAAACGTCCCCTTTCTCGTCCAAGTCGGACATATTAAATACACGTTCCTTCTTTTTGTGTTGTAAGCCGCCTTCTGGTCTGTCCGCTGATGGTGCAGAAATGGCGCAAATAATGTGAGATGTTGGTTGGAGGGCTAAAAATTGCGATTGATTGGTACTTTTTGATTTCCTTTCTGTCACCACAATGAACCAATAAATTGTGAATAAAGCTGTGAAACGTTTGTTTTTTTGTGGCTTGTCTTTTTTTTTTAACCGTTCCAAGTGCTACACGTCGATATTTTTTAATCACTCATACTAAACAAAATCATCGAAATATATGATGACAATAGTCAGTGAAGCCAAAGTGAAGCTCTGTCAGGTCCACGTGGGTCTTGTCGATTCCAAGAGGGGGGGGCCACAAGATGGTGGAAAAGTACGGCAAGAAATCCCTCCATTTACAGAGTTCCTTGGCACTGGGATGCCACAAGTTATACTTTGGCCGTAGTGTTTTGGCCTGTGTGCACAGGCGGCGAGTGAGAGTTTTTCGGCAAATGAGAGCAACGACGGGTCAAATAAATTGGTGAATCTGCGCGTATGCATGGGAACTTTGCTCTGAAAGCCATACATTGCACAGATAATCCTCCAGGGGGCAGTAATCCATTCACCAAATTGTTTGCCGGTGATGCGAAATGGCCACAATGAAAGAAAGGAAAATGGCTCCAGTTTGAAAGAATTTGAATTTTGTGTGTCCCGTCTCAATAGAACCAAACCGTCAGACAAAAAAAATAGAACAATAATAACGGTTCCGACTCTTTTTCTTTTGGTCTCAGAACGTGGTTTTAAGTGGCTGTCAATAAAGTTGACGGGAAAAAAAAAATCCGGACCGTACCAATCCCGACATTATATAAAGACAGTCGAGAATTGAGCACACTTACGAGATGAATTTTCTTCGTCCCTCTTAATTTTTTGAAAACGTGTCATGATTTAGAGGATATCAACCCTATAATATCCGCATTATCGATATCGAACGCGAAGTTGAGTTTGTAAGCACCCCTTATGTTGGACGCGTAATGTTTCCGTCCGCTGGCGACGACAGCATGGCGGCGTTCGGACTCAACGTGATCCAACATCTTGGCCCAATGTTGTCTTTTTAACTCTTCATGACGTTAAATTTGAGAGGGAGCAAAATACTGCAGCGTCTGCTTTGACGACCTCAGCGTATAGCCCACCCCGAGAAAGGCAAGAAGGAAATGGTGGGCAAACACATTCGCACCAGTCTTTGCCAACTAGCTACCAAGCTAGCCTTGATGCTCGCTGGCGCTAACTGCTAATCAAGTTGCTTACTTTCTAGATCTTTCTTCGACAAAGTCTTATTGTTCGCAAGAGTGTCGTTTTTTTTTTTTTTCGTTGACGAATACAAGTGTTCACTTGTTCCAGGACATTGAACGAATCAGACGTTTTGAGGACTTATTTGGTTTAAAAGAATGTACCTCTGGCATAAAGAATTGTAAAGTGTCCTTGGGTGTCTTGAAAGGCGCTTATAAATCAAATGTATGATTATTATTATTGTTATTATATCAGCAACGATACTAATTGAATGGTCTGAGACTTGTAATAGGAAGTTAACCGGTCAGCCACCACTCACATAACGAATGAGCTTATTTGGAGATCATGTGGAGAAATGACTCTTATCTGTCATGAACAGTCTCAATTCCTGCCCCCCCCCCCCGCCCCCCCCTTTCAAGCCGAGTCAAAGCAGCACTATGAGATGTTTGACGAGCGAGCGGGACGCTCTTCTTGCGTGCGTTTTTCTGACAGCCTCACCGGAAGAAGAAGTCCTTCATTGAGAAGAAGAAGGCGTTGACCTTCCACCTGGTGCACAGGAGCCAAAGGGACCCCCTGGCGGCAGATGAGAAAGCGCCCCAGCACGTCCTGCTGCCCGCCGCCAAGGTGCGCCGATTTGCCGGGCTTTACCCTCAAAAGCCTTCCCATACAGTGACCCACCCCCCGCTGATGACAACGGCGTTCACTCGCCGCACAAGCCTTGTGTGGATAACGAACCCGGACGTTCGCGTCTTCGTGGCAGGCGGACGCGGAGAAGCGGCGGGAGGAGCAGAGGAATTTCGGCGTCTTCTTCGACGACGACTACGATTACCTGCAGCACCTGAAGGAAGCTTCCGGACGCACGGAGCTTCTGGCCGCCCGACCCTCGCCGCCGCGCCTTTGCGCTGATGATGATGATGATGATGATGATGATGATGCTCGGGATGGTGAGCACGACGCTGACCAGAAGGAGCGGTCACTACCCGTAAGTTCATCGACTGTCACCGCCTCCATGATCTCATGTCATCGGAATCTATATATCGGCAGTGTTGATGTCAGAGATATTTTAGACGGGAAGTGAGTCAAGTATGCGATTTCCGTCCCGCCGTTTGCTTTTCCGGTGTCGCGGTCCTCCGGTGACTCTTTGCGGCGTTCGTTGCAGGCGGCGAGCATCCGGCTGCCGTCGTCGGTGTTCGCCTCCGACTTCGAGGAGGACGTGGGCCTCCTCAACAAAGCCGCTCCCGTCTCAGGTGAGCTCCCCTCGTGGGGGCGGCGCCCTTGCCGCGAGCGCCTTGTTCTTTTGTGCTGTTCCATTTCAAAGAGTTAAGAAAATACCCGACTTGTGACTGTGTCAGGGCCGCGCCTGGACATGGACCCCGACATCGTGGCCGCCCTGGACGAGGACTTTGACTTTGACGACCCCGACAACGCGCTGGAGGACGACTTCATGGCCAAAGCCAACGCCGCCGGCCGCGCCCCCGTCCGGTGAGTCCCGACCGCCGCCCGTCGCTCTTTCGGTAAAGGTTGGACTCCAACCTATCGCACGTTGACGCGCCGCCCGCTCGACAGAGGAGACGAGGACGCGGACGGGGACTCGTGGGAGGACGCGGACGATGACGATGACGACGACGGCTCCGGCTCCGCCTTTTCGGACGAGGAGGGCGGCAGCGCTCGGGAGTTCCCGTTCGACGACGAGGAGACCGGGACTCGCTTCACCGACTACTCCATGACGTCGTCGGTGATGCGGAGGAACGAGCAGCTCACCCTGCTGGACGACCGCTTTGAGAAGGTGCGCGCGCCGCTTTGCCCTTTTTTGCCCGTTTTGTGATTTTAAGACGCAATTATTCTGACGATTATTTTTGCAATGAATCCGTTTTTTTTTTTTTTTTTTAAATTTATTTTTTATTTTTTTCTATTTCCCGAATCATTGTCCTGAAAATGCACAAACTGAGATCGTTGACGGTTCACGTCTGTAACGTGTTGGCCAAATTGTTGATTGATGCTTTTCAAAGTAAAAGCGTCGGCGTTTGCAAATAAAAGTAAGAGTCGGTGACTTTCAAGTTAGGGGCAAGACTCTCTTGATGAGATGTTCGTCCCGTCGTATTTATTTTTTCTACTTCAAAATGAGCAAGCGTTGTCCCTCTTTTCTCTCAAGTTTGTTTTGATGACAAAAAAAAAAAAAAAAACCTCACCCGGGGCCCCAAAAGAACGGCACATTGAGCGCAAATGCCCTGTTTTAGTTTTACGAGCAGTTTGACGAGGATGAAATCGGCGCCCTGGACAACGCCGAGCTGGAAGGCTACCTCGCTCCCGACAGCGCCCGCCTCGAGGAGGTCATCAAGGACTACTTCGCCCAGAAAGCCAAAGAGTGCGTGGGGCCGCTTCTTGCGTTGTTGTCGCAGCGGCGACGCCGGCGGTGGTGGTGGTGGTGGTGGTGGTGGTCCTCATCGCATGCTTCGTACGCCCTTTGCGCTTCAGGGCTCTGAGGCCCGACGACTTGGGCCCAAAACAACTTCCCGTCCTACAAGAGGAGAACGAGGATGACGACGACAACGAGGAGCAGGAGATGGAAATGTTGGTCGTCGGAGCTCCGGAGGAGAAGTGGGACTGTGAGAGCATCATCAGTGAGTACCACGTTGCACCTTTCACTGCGGGGAAGAAAGAAGAAGCAGCAGCACTTTTTTGTCCCATTAAAAAAATAATAATAATAACAATAATAAAAAGAAGCAGCAGCAGCACTTTTTTTGTCCCATTAAAAAAATAAAAATAATAAAATAAAAAGAAGCAGGGGAAAAAAAAAGCAGCAGCAACACTTTTGTCCCATTAAAAAAATAAAATAAAAAGAAGCAGCAAAAAAAAAGAAAAAGAAGCAGCAGCAGCACTTTTTTTTGTCCCATTCCAAAAAATAACAATAATAAAAAGAAGCAGCAGCAGCACTTTTTTGTCCCATTAAAAAAATAAAAATAATAAAATAAAAAGAAGCAGGGGAAAAAAAAAAGCAGCAGCAACACTTTTGTCCCATTAAAAAAATAAAATAAAAAGAAGCAGCAAAAAAAAAGAAAAAGAAGCAGCAGCAGCACTTTTTTTTGTCCCATTCCAAAAAATAACAATAATAAAAAGAAGCAGCAGCAGCACTTTTTTGTCCCATTAAAAAAATAAAAATAATAAAATAAAAAGAAGCAGGGGAAAAAAAAAAGCAGCAGCAACACTTTTGTCCCATTAAAAAAATAAAATAAAAAGAAGCAGCAAAAAAAAAGAAAAAGAAGCAGCAGCAGCACTTTTTTTTGTCCCATTCCAAAAAATAACAATAATAAAAAGAAGCAGCAGCAGCACTTTTTTGTCCCATTAAAAAAATAAAAATAATAAAATAAAAAGAAGCAGGGGGGAAAAAAAAAGCAGCAACAACACTTTTGTCCCATTAAAAAAATAAAATAAAAAGAAGCAGCAAAAAAAAAGAAAAAGAAGCAGCAAAAAAAAAGAAAAAGAAGCAGCAGCAGCACTTTTTTTTGTCCCATTCCAAAAAATAACAATAATAAAAAGAAGCAGCAGCAGCACTTTTTTGTCCCATTAAAAAAATAAAAATAATAAAATAAAAAGAAGCAGGGGGGAAAAAAAAAGCAGCAACAACACTTTTGTCCCATTAAAAAAATAAAATAAAAAGAAGCAGCAAAAAAAAAGAAAAAGAAGCAGCAAAAAAAAAGAAAAAGAAGCAGCAGCAGCACTTTTTTTTGTCCCATTCCAAAAAATAACAATAATAAAAAGAAGCAGCAGCAGCACTTTTTTGTCCCATTAAAAAAATAAAAATAATAAAATAAAAAGAAGCAGGGGGGAAAAAAAAAGCAGCAACAACACTTTTGTCCCATTAAAAAAATAAAATAAAAAGAAGCAGCAAAAAAAAAGAAAAAGAAGCAGCAAAAAAAAAGAAAAAGAAGCAGCAGCAGCACTTTTTTTTGTCCCATTCCAAAAAATAACAATAATAAAAAGAAGCAGCAGCAGCACTTTTTTGTCCCATTAAAACCCCCCACCCCCTCTAGGCGAAGCCCATCCGCGTGTCCGCCAGGACGGGCGTCCCCCTGGACGTCCTCCCCGCCAAAGGTCCCACCGCCAGGCGGCTGGAGCGAATGGGCGGGATCGACGGCGCCGACCTGCCGCGCGCCGCCGACCTGCCGCGCCGCAAAGACGAGAGCAAGGACCAGAGGAAGGCCCGCAAGAACGCCGTCAAGGAGGAGCGCAAGGTCCGCGCTCACCTGCCCGTCGAACACACTCACACCCCCCCCCACCCCAAAAAAAAACGTTTGTCTGTTGTAACGGGGGCACACCAAAATGTGTCCGGGACCCAAAAATTGAAGGGGAAATTGGCCATTTGGGTTGAAAAAGAGAAAAATATCGATACATTTTAAGGATCGCCCCCCCCCCGCATGCTCGCTAATAATCCCGACGTTTGCATTTTGCAGGAGCGACGCCTGGAGAAGAAGGCCAACAAGACGGCGTTCAAGGAGGAGAAGGCGCGCCAGGAGAAGCAGATGCTCAACCTCAGGAACAACGTTCCGGGCCTCAAACTCTCGTAGAGCACGCAAGACTC